ATGTCGATGTCAGCGGCGCAGGCGAGGACAACTCTTAAAGAGGTAATGCAATACGCTGAGGAAGGCATCCACTACGATGACGACGGGGAGCTTGAACTACTAACGGAGATAGTACCAGCTACTTCGAAGTCAGAGTGAACATTCGTGCAAGCATCGCTGCGAACGGAGAGGAGTCGCTCAGAGCACGGATGCTATTGGCACGGTTCACAGAGGCGCGTGATTTGCGTGTAGACGACAGTGCTGATACCGGTGCATACAGCTTGAGAAAGGTGGTTGGTTGGATGTCCACAGAAGGGATGTCTGCTGAAGGGGACGTGGATATGACAAAGCAGCAGCAGGGCGGAACATACACAGCAGCTGATTTCAAGAAGATGCTCATGACACAGGCGAGGAAATGGGGAATGCTTGTTGAAGATTCTAACGACGAGCTGAAGAGCGGTGCAGCAGAAATTCTGTTGCTGTCGCGTTTGAAGGACATACCGCAAGCTCCCCCGCAAGACTTCCAAGATCTTCTAGTCATTATTGCAAACGGGGTGGAGTATGTTTTACTCGACCAGCTGGTGGATTTCATGCAAAAGCGTCCTCAGGATCGGAATGTCATGCATTAGGCATTGCATGATGTGACAGAGCAAGCACTGGCGGGCAAGGACCTCGTTAACTACAAGGTGCGGACTGTGGAAGAGGATGTCATATATGGAACTCCATTATGGGATGGAATATTCATGGAAGCTTTGCATCACCTCACCATCGCGACTTCTGACGTGGACAGAAAGAGGTCAAGGGAGGAAGGATGGAAGTTGATCGCCAGGGAAGCAGATGTTGCACTTCAAGCTGCAGATGGACACACTTCATCAGGGGAAGAAATTGACAGAACAGTCTCCTTCGTGCGTGGGAGCATCATCACAGTGTCCAGGGAGGAGGTTGAAGAAGAAGATGTGTTCAATGAGTGGACAATGATAGAACAACAACGGCGACGAGGGTTCGAAGACTCTTCTTAACCAATCGATTTTGACTATGACATTGAAGAAACAACAGCGAGGAATAATGAAAAAGATGCGAAGCCGCCAACATATGAGGTGGAAGTGAGTGGCATCGATGTGAGCTGCGACGTGGAGGGTGAGGAGTATGATGCGTACTGGGATATTGAAGCAGGAGGAGGGCAAGCATCTAAAGGGTGGGCACATGCGATTCTCAGGTTGGCACGTGTTTTCCGTAATCCCCATTTACTGTTGCGTGTCGTGCTGAAGGAGGCAACACCTGACGGCGCACTCCAGTATGCAGCACTGACGACCATTATGAGATCATGCTCGAATGGAAAAAGCTGGTCACGTATGGGGAAGAATTGGTTTGTCTTGGTCAACAGAGAGGCTGTCCTCGCAACCTCGCTCACTTGGGGCCTGGACCTTAATTGCCTCCTGCACGGGGCTATAGCCAGCGGTTCTGGTGCTACGTTGCACCCGGCACTATCAACAGGAGAGGATATACTTCGTGCTCACAYATGGCTTGGCTGTGCTTCAGAGACCATGATGGACAGCGGGGATACAGACATTGGTGGTGGACAGCGTTGAATGCAATTGTGCGTTGCACAGGCATCCTTCTTGTTTGGCTAATTTTGCTATTCACAGACAGAGTTTGTGAGGTATTTGAAGTGTTGGAGTGCTCCACAACGGTGTACAAACTTAAGCTCTCTCTCTCTCTCTCTCTTCCCGTTTTTGGCTTCTGGCGGAACCCCGTTCGGGTTAGAAAACGACCCC